CGTTTCACTCCCGCTTCACTCTCGCGCTTGTCCTTTTCTTTCTGACTGGATCAGATGATGGAGACACTTCAATAATCACACACACGTTATTATCAGCAGCTCAAGAAGTTCGTTATATCAAATATAGACACGATCGTGAGCTCCCGGAAGAAAGCGAATACCGCTCGCACTTTTAGACGGACTCGTAAAGCAGCAACAGCACACGGCAGATTTTTCCTCTAGGATTCAAATCTGTTCATCAACACGACGACACGGTTTGTTTGAGCCCGGGTCATCCATGGCTGGTTATTATATGCATATAGTATATCTCTGTAACCAATCAGCATTCAGCTGCACGTGTAACTCCACCTTTTGGGACCCTTTCGAAAGGGTGCTGAAAAAGTGGTACGGCGTGACGCAGCTTCAAATATTAGTTTCAAACCGGAAGTATGAATTTGCTCAAAATAACACAAATCAACCGATTTTCAGTCGTTAACTCAATATATGTGTCACAGATGTGACTGTCAACAGCTCAGCACGTGTGTTCTGCTGTTTCCTGACCCTTTAGAAGTCTCCATAGTCGTCTTAACAACACAAACCATGCTGTCACCTGCAGGGAAACCCCGCCTCTGCTTTAATCTGATTGGAGAATGAAAGAGGCGACTGACGTAACACTTTTTCCGCTCGAGCACACAGGGCGCAACCGCGAAACGAGAGGCGCGCGGGCGGATAAGCAGTGCGCAGTACTGGCGGTACAGTACACTGGCGGCCGAGTAAACCAGTCAGGAGAACCTCTCAACACCGGAGACACTCGCTGTGATCAGCCCCTGATGCAGACACACTGAAGAAATGTAGAACACAGTGTTGTTTAATCCTTTACCTGACACCATTGATCAGTTACACACACACACACACACACACACCCTATCAGTTAACAGATAATCGGCTAATATGAGCAGAACTGACCCGTCCTGAACCAGTCAGTGGAAACCGGCCATAAGATGTGTGTGTGTGTTTTACCCTGTTAGCAGTGTGTGTGTGCTTCTCTCTCCTCAGGGGTGTGTTTCAGATGAAGTGTGTGCGTGTTTTGCCCAGTTAACAGCGTTGTGTGTGTGTGTGTGTGTGTGTGTGTGTGTGTGTGTGTGTGTGTGTGTGTGTGTGTGTGTGTGTGTGTGTGTATGTATGTATGTGTGTGTGTGTATGTATGTATGTGTGTGTATGTGTGTGTGTGTATATACGCAGTTAACAGCGGTGTGTGTGTGTATATGTGTGTGTGTATATGTACGCAGTTAACAGCGGTGTGTGTGTGTGTATATACGCAGTTAACAGCGGTGTGTGTGTGTATATGTGTGTGTGTATATGTACGCAGTTAACAGCGGTGTGTGTGTGTGTGTGTTTCTCTCTCCTCAGGGGTGTGTTTGCTGTATAAAGCTCATAACCGTCTGCTGTGTTGTGCTGTCATGCCAAATCCTCATCGTCTGTCTGTCGGGGTGCCGTGGGCGTGGCCAGCACTGGGGGGCGGAGCACTCGGCTTCCTCTTCGATGCCATTGGCCGTGTTGACCTGGGAGCTTCTCTGATTGGCTGGGGCGATTCCGTCTGTCAGCTGCAGCCCAATAATCATCCGCCCCGCCCCCACCTGAACACGCCCCCCTTACCGTTGCCATAGCAGCGCTCCCGTGCACTCCGATGTACAAGGCAAACACAGAGTCTTATGTAAACACACACACACACACTCACACGCACACACACAGGAAGAGACGTCATTACCAAACGCCACAAACCCAAAGTATTGGAGGTGAAGCGGGATGATCATTCCGGCCGGCGGACGCGCCCCGCTCGCGCTCTCTCCACCTCTGCTTTATTTCAACACGTCTGTACGGCTGATGTTCTGTAGAGTTCTGATCATTACTGTTCTGTTCTGTCAGAGACGCTCATGACTTTAATAATGATGATGATGATGATGATTATTGAAGCGGTCTGTGTTGCGGCGGGAGAGGCGCGGGCGGCGTGCGGCTCTCACACACTCATCCTGCACTTCTGCTGTCCCTCACTCTTTACTGATGTTGCTTATTTTGCTTTCCTTCCTGTTTCTCCTTCATTCCATCCCTGCGTCTGTCTGTCCGTCTGTGTGTGTGTGTGTGTGTGTGTGTGTGTGTGTGTGTGTGTGTGTGTGTGTGTGTGTGTGTGTGTGTTGCTCACGGATGCCCACGAGCTTCGTTTCTGTTTCAAAGCTTTATTTTTGTGGATGTTGTGTTGCAGAAGCTGTTCATTTAGCTGTTATCTTCAGTGTGTGTGTGTGTGTGTGTGTGTGTGTGTGTGTGTGTGTGTGTGTGTGTGTGTGAGCGGACGGACAGACAGACAGACGCGCCGCGCTCCGTCTGCAGTCTGATCAAAGCCAGACGTCGCGTGTCTGACCACACCCCCCCTGATGAAGAGCCAATCACCATCCTCATCTCCGTCTGTCAATCATGTCTAGCCCCTCCCCCTCTTCTTCTGTTTATTTTTGGCTTTGTTTTTGGGAAAATACTAAAAAGTGCAACAACAATGGTTCAAAGAATTCCAAACGAACAGAGAAATAATAAATATATATAAATAAAGAAATGAATATGACTGGCGTGTGTGTGTGCCGCGTGTGTTCTTGAGGAGCAGGACTGAGCGATCGCTCCATTAGTGAAATACCGCTGTGTAAACATTCAGGATGCGCAGTGCGGTTGCAGAGAAACACCGGGAGCGCTAGCATTTACAGCGAGGGAATGACATGTGATGCGGTACAGAGTCTGTTACATCACATATTACATACATATTATTGACATAACGACATCGCCCAGTGATAGGCTCAGTGATTCTGCAATATTAACGGTAAAGTGAGCGGCGTTCATCTGACAGCTCCATCTGTGACAGCCCCATCCCAATGGATACTGGAGAAGAGGAAATGGACGAGCGGCCAGCCCCAAACACACAGCCGTCTCACTCACACTCCACTGCTTTACAGGACAGCAGGTAAAGGTCTACAAGTCTCTGGATGTCTGCAGTGTAGTGTGTGTGTTCATGTGCAGGACATAATGCTCCATGATGAGCACATTCAACACTGTAGAGCTCAACACCGAGGTTCTGCCTGTACCTGTATGGCGTCATGAGTGATGAAGGTTGGTAATTCCCCTATAGCCGCCTTTCTGCTGTGCAGGACATTCGGAGACCACTGCTCAAATACGCCCCCTGAGTGTTCAGTGTTGTCGGGCATCATGGTGATGGTCACGGTGTCCGAAATAAAGGAGGTCAAAAGCAAGAGCCCTTATTCTCCGTCCGTTCATCATGTTTGAATGAATGAACACTGGAAACTCAGACCGCTAAAACTTTAGGAGGGATTGTGGAGAACACATGAAAAATAATGTCCTTTTATTACTCATTCATGAATTTAATTTACTTTAATATAGACTTTATACTGACTCCGAAAATAAGGAAAAACGTTTCTCATCTCGCGTGTTCGCATGTCCTTAGACAACACTGGAATACGGCACATCTGGTCGGCCGGCGCACACGTCTAGTTGCAGGAGATCAAATACTTTAAAGGATCCGCAGCTCAATTCGGATCTGAACTTTCCGCATACGGAGATGATCAGAACTCCCGGACGACATTGGAAATGAAGGACTTGGTCTGTCGCTTGTCGTGTGCAGTGGAAAGGTGGCTTCATTGATCTGAACTGAATCAACACTTAACGGTGTAATCGGTCTGGACGTCTGTTAGCTTCATATCTGACCGTTTCACAATATTAATCGCATTATTACCAGTTTATTACTGTGAAAGCTGATTTTACTCAGTCTGAAGGAGATATGTGAACTTTATATTCACACTCGTGCAGAGATATAAGCCGAAACAGTGCAGATTCACTGATATTGCTGATGTCCGCCTTCATCTGAGGAGTCTGGAGTTCAGCTGATCCTCCGATCTTTAGCTCAGTGTTTAGGATATTGATCATGATCTCCTATATGACTTTATATCTCGGCTCATCTTGGAAATGTCATGTGAGTGGTGTAATAGCCGCAGTTTGAAGTTTATTTGTAGAATTAACTGGTGAACTGAGGGTGTTTTTCGGTGTTTGTGTTGTTGTTTTTTTCCCTGACAGCGAGTTCTGTGAGCAGCTGATCACGCCTGAATGCCAATCTGCACTGCAGAGGTTCAGCAGACCTGACGGGTCGAGCGCAGATCTGCCGGGTATCGAGCGTTTGGTCGCAAGAGCATCAGTAACACAAACAAACACACACACTCACACAAACACACACACACACACACACACACACACACCGTGTTTTCCTCCATGTTTTTATAGCGGTGGTGAATCACGGCGAGCATCGGTTCCAGCTCTTTTAAAAGACCCGAATCATTTAGTTCAACTCAGCGAAAAGAGTCGACTCCCTGTTCCCGAACGGCTCTTTTCAAGCTTCTGGATCACAGAACTCAAAGTCATAACTGTAAATGTTTTGACCTGTAATTGTGTGTGTAAAATATTGTTTAACATCACAAACACTGTATATAGGGGTTACCTGTTCTTTTAAATTCAGTAATTATATTTTTGAATTTTTTTTCTAGCACTTTTACATTTGAGCGAATTAAAACTAGAGATTTTGCATGGCAGCGAGCAGAAATGCTTTTAATTTCATGTTCCATTATATGTTCCTGTCTTGCTTGTTCATCTGTGTAAAGTGGCCTGTTTATATTATTATTAATATTATTATATCTTTATATTATTAATCAGTATAGAAATACAGTTGAATTGATTTCCTACTATATATATATATATCTGCTGCTTGTTCAAACTACTAAAACGTTTTTTTTCTTTGGTTCAACTTAATTATTTTATGTTCAGTCCACTTAAATTAGTAGAAGATAATAAGCTGACTTAATTCCTTCATGTTGACCCAACACAAATGGATTATGGGTAACCCAGCATGTTTAGAGTGAGTGGTTCACTCAAAGGAGCCGACATACTGAACTGATTCGCTTGGATCGGCAGAAGGAATCGACTCATTGAGCTGACTTCCAATGTTTACTCAAAGGAGTCGACTCAGAGCCGATTCTCATCCATCACCTAAAGCAGCTGACTCGGTCTCCAGCGCATCGGTGTGTGCTGTATCTGAATGGATCCTCAAGCGGACATCAGCACCCAGAGGTAAACACTCACTGTTTATGTTTATGTGTGTGTGTGTGTGTGTGTGTGTGTGTGTGTGTGTAAGAGAGAGAGATGTCCATCATTTGTACAGTGTGTGTGTGTGTGTGTTGCAGCTGACAGATGCAGATTCTGCTTGTCAACACCGCGCTATAGTGTTTACTGTGTGTGTGTGTGTGTGTATGTGTGTGTGTGTGTGTGTGACTTGGTATCTAGCCATATTTGGGCGAAGACCCAATCAATACATTCATCTTAACATCACAATCTGTAAAACTCGTTCATTTTAAACTTATTTATTACTTTATATAAAATGCTTTTTTGGCGATGGAAGCTTAAAGACGCCTCTCGTGGAGAACGAAGTCATATGCATTGCTCAGTTGTGGGTTTTTCACAGACTTCAACAGAGTGTCAAAATCTTGATAGTCCTGTGGGTCTCGTCTATCAAATCTGAGCTTTATTTTGTATTTTATTGGATTTAAGTCAGGTGATTGGCTGGGCCATTCCACAGCTTGATTTTGTTTCTCTGAAAGCATTTGAGAGTTTAGTAGGCTGTGTTTTGGATCATTGTCTTGCTGAAATGTCCACTCTGGTTTCATCTTTATCATCCTGATAATGTAGATG